ATCGACCGACGAATCTCTTCTTCATGCACTTTCATACGAAATGAAGGTCCCTCTAACAATGTTATCTCAGCAGATTCATCGAAACCCAGTTTCTCTTGGTATCTACATTATCAAGTAGAGTCATGTTGGCGTACCTTTCAATTCGTTTAAAGAGGCGAATGGGAGGGATTCATAAGTTGGTTCCACCTTGTACAAATCGGCAACCACAGCGTGAAGGCAACCAACTTAGGAATCCCTTCCACTCGCCTCTTCACACGAAACGAAAGCTAGTCCAACATCAATCTATTGAGGGATTCTTCGAAACCCAGTCCATCGACATCGAGTAGAGTGTTTGTTTTCTCGCGCGTTCTCATCCAGCAGATGTTGTGGTTGGCTTAGTTGTGTGTATATGTATGTGTGTGTTCGTCAAGTCCCACCTTTCTACAGATGTTTATGATCAGTATGAGGTCCTCACTGCCTACTATCTCAAGCGCATAAACGATGGCAACAGGTTCTTGTAAGTCCAGCCCTTCCGAGAAGGAGGAGGAGGAGGAGGAGGAGGAGAAGGAAGAGGAGCGGTGGGGGAAGGGAAGAGGAGGGGTTGAATGGAGATGGCAGAAAGTCTACTGCCAATCAAGCAATTGTTGAGTGAATGACAAACGATAGCTCTCTTCCATCCCGGCTCCTCCCTTGCCCTGCACAAGCAACCTGATGGAGGTTTCTCGCCTGTTAAAACAAATACTAAAACCATCATAAAATGGGAAACCCGCATATGTTCATGTGGGAAGAGCATATGAAGGCATCATTTGGCCATCATTGGGAAGGGTTTAAGTGACACTATTCGGAGATTTGGAGGACTAAACCAATGACATGTGTGCACGTATGATGCTGCAAGTCGAGATAGGGAAGTTTTTGGTAGCCAGTAAAGGGAATTATGGCACAAAGTTGTGCAAAACTCCAAGGTGAAACTCATCCAACAGAGAAGGCGGGCGGAAGGGACATGGACACTGTTCTGGAGGAGACGCCCGAGCCAAGAGGTGTTCACAACTCTCACAACCTCTCGTGGCAAAAGGGTCTCCGTCTCTGCCCAGCCTGCAGAAATGCGTTATTGCACATCCGGAATGAAGGATACCCGAGCCCTGAGGCGTCTGAAGCGCCGCAATGTCACTTTTCCCGTCAGTCATTTGATACAGAGAAATGATGCTATGCTGGCTATACGTCGACATTATATGCTGCACTACAATGCTTTGAGTTCGATTCCCGCAGGGGAGGTTGATGCGAACCAGATGAAGTTGAAACGGCCATCGAACCCCGAGGAAGATATCCTTTTGACAATCACTCTGGCAATCACAATTTTCAGTTCTTCATCGCTTTTTACCAACCATGGTGACGGAGACTCTAATTGAAGATTCATT